CATTGCCGTTGAGCAATTCCCTTTTTGGATGCGGCACGCATTCTACTTCCATTTGTACATTCGTAGTGGCGTTTGAATGCGATGTGGCCTATACAATGACTTGCGGGGGCCAGCCGATGTACAAGTCAGTGTTTTTATCCTCCCAGACAAGTCTGGTACCAATTAACCGACCCCGGAGGGATGGAAGGCTTGGTTGGCCCGGGCGACTCACGACCCAGGATTTGATCCCCGGACCGCGTGGTAAGCGTGCCACTTGCCACTACACCACTTCCTCCCTATTCAGCAATAGGAAAAAAGGAGCTAACATCGATCTAATCCTTAATAGAATGTCGTCTTGCGATAGTCTTCTGTAATAAGTAAAATCTAAGTTTCCAATGGGCGGAAGTGGTGTAGTGACAAGTGGCGCGCTCACCACGCGAGCGGTCCGGGATCAAATCCTGGGTCGTGAGTCGCCCGGGCCAACCAAGCCTTCCTGTCGACAAGTCGACGATACTTCAAGTGATATATTTGGATGATTGAAACTGTTGTTTTTGATTGATTTAAAAATATGATGTGCATTACATTTTTCTTATGACTCATCGTTTCATGTAACTTTTTGAGATGTTGTGGAAATTCTAGCATCAATAATTACCTTTACCATCATACCATCAATTCTAGTTTAATTACCCAAGTTTGAGCCATGTGGGTGTTTTTACTGCTGCCGATGCTCGGCATCGCGTCGGCGGTGATTCAAGAGGTGATCTATGTGGGACAGGTCTATCAAAAAAGGACAGCGTTTTCGGTGGAGATGGCGGGAAGTTGCCGTCGTGGTTGATGCTCCGAGACGGAATTCTGGAAGGAATACCAGGTGAACGAGGCGTCGGAAAACACACGATAAAGACTTTCTCTCGATCAGACGGAGAGAAAGTGTTGGAACTGGTCGTGAAGGAGGATCATCGAAATCCGTGCGGAAGCGAAGACACTTACTGGGTCGAGGCGCTCTTCGAGAATGATGGACCTGTCGAACATCGTCTCAACGCAGCGTTCGATATCAAAGCGCTGAAGGTGAACGTCAACGAGCTCAAGGTTTACTCGTACAACTACTCGCGTACAATTCGCAGCGTCTACTCTATTGGTGGCGACGCAGAAGGAGCTTTTACGATACTTAAGAAGGTGGCTTGTGGAGACAATTTGGACACGGCCACCGACGAAATGGACGTGATTCTGACCGCTGTCGAGAATATCGAGCATGAGATTTATGTTGTGTTGACTCATGGCCGCGTGGTTCAACCTCCCAATGACGTCACTGTGGAAAGTTCTACCCCAGGAAAGGTTACCACCACCACCCGCGAATCGACTACCTCGCGCACCACGCGAAAAGTCGACAATCCTCCAGTGAAACTGAATTCGCTTTCCGCATTCACATGCGTACGTGGTGTTTACTGCGAGATGACCATACCGGAAAGCACGTTCAAGGACGTCGAGGACGGGGACACGTTCAAGCTTCGACTTTCAGTGCAGCCAATCGGCAAAAAGGATTCGTGGATGTTCTACGACCACAAGAAGATCAAGGGTGTACCGATGGAGGAAGGCGAGCATGAGTTCCGATTAGAAGCTCGAGACAAAGCTGGACAGATGGCTTCCGCCCCATTCAAAGTGTCGGTGACGCCGTCGTTCCCGTTCAACCACCTCGTCACCCTCGAGCTCGACACCCCCGTGCTGCGATTCTCACGGCCGTCATCGCTTTCCTCGTTCGCACATCAGTTGGCCAACGCTTTCCGCTCTAAACCGGATGCAATCACCATTCGAAACATCACAGGGAACACGACGAAGACCCAGGTCTCGTGGAGCAACAACACGGTCCCTCACAAGACTTGTGCTCGCGATGCCCTCGACAACATCCGGTTCACGATGCTCACTCGACAGCGCTCACAGACAAAGATCGAGTTTGTAAAGCAGATCGGCTCACAATTCCACGTCCGAAAAGCCAGCCTGGACCTGCGAGGTAGCTGTCTCGACAAAGAAGTGGAGATGGTTTCCACAGCGCCGACGATGGAGGCTACCGAGCAAGCCGCCTTCCCGTGGATGGTTCTCATTGGAGTGCTCCTCCTACTTCTTCTGCTCGCTATCCTGATTCTAGCTGTATGCAGCGCGATGAGGAGGAACAAGAAGAAGGAGAAACCCTCCGACTACATGGAGCAAAAGGAGGCGCTGCATTGGAACAAGTGCCCATTGAGATGGAAACTGATGAAGATTACTTCGAGAAAATGGTTCAAGAAGTACAAGAGGACGAAGAGATGACGGATACGGAACAAGAAGAAGAAGAACGTGAAGACTCTTCGGGGCGAATTATTCAACTCTGCCAACAAGCCCTCGAGTTGGAACAAGTACTTCAGACGTTTCCCTATAGAGACTTTGGAGATAGGAAAGTCAGCAACACCTGTACCTTTTGCGGCGCTGTAGACAGGAAAGTCAGCAACACCTGTACCTTTTGCGGCGCTGTAGACCGTCACTTCTCAGATTCTTGCCCGCAGGTACAAGATGGACACGATCGAAACACAATCGTCGATAGAAAGAAGGTGTGCAAGTGCTGCTTCGGCAACTGCCCACAAGACAAGTGCAGATTTCCCCGAAGAGACTGCTACTACTGCGAGAGGATTAGAGGGACGATCGTCGAGGATTTGATTCCGAAAAAGAGACATCATCGCGCACTGTGTGAAGTACCCGGATCTAAAAAACGAAGTAAGAAAACGAATAAAGCGGCTGGAAGAGGAGATCGAACATCTACGATCAGAAGAACGATTCAAGCCGGGCGGAGTGTCGACAAGTCGACGATACTTCAAGTGATATATTTGGATTATTGAATCTGTTGTTTTTGATTGATTTAAAAATATGATGTGCATTACATTTTTTCTTATGACTCATCGTTTCATGTAACTTCTTTGAGATGTTGTGGAAATTCTAGCTCGTGGGTGCCGATTATGTTGTTAGATTCTTAAAAGATATGCTCGCCATACAGTATAAAAGGAGGTGAGGAGAAGGAGCCTGGCAGTTTCTGCTCCAGCCACAAGTGCTTACAAGTTCGCCTAGAAAGAGAGAAACCACAAGTGCTCCTTCGCCTCACAAGTGGAAATTGTAGGTCGATTATTGATTTGTCATAAAGCTGTGCATCAGTACAGTGTTAGGAGCAGTGGAAAAAGTCCCGCGTGGCAGTGTGAACAAGACAAGCTATTCAGAATAGCTGGCGACCAAGTACCTAGGAAACCGAACCGCCGATCCCTTCACTTCATCCCTCCGGGGTCGGTTAATTGGTACCAGACTTGTCTGGGAGGATAAAAACACTGACTTGAACATCGGCTGGCCCCCGCAAGTCATTGTATAGGCCACATCGCATTCAAACGCCACTGCGAATGTACAAATGGAAGTAGAATGCGTGCCGCATCCCAAAGGGATTGATCAACGGCAAATGCTTTATCCTTTATCCTTAAGTTTCCAATCACTTTGGCACGCCGACGAGGTTCATGACAGAGCGAATGTAATACGAGGCTTTGGTAGCTCTGAGAGGGAAAGGATATTCGGGGTGACATGAGGAATTTTCATTTTCTCCGTAATCCCTCACCTCTTTTCGGACTCAACTGTAGGGGCCATTGCGATCGCACAGCCACACTGTCCCTCCTACACGGTGACAATGCCCGGCACAAATGACGTCTAACACAATATACGGGAAAACCGTAATAAATTATGGAATATGTACTCTAATATGCAGAGTGTATCCCTTGTGATCATTGATGTAAAAGCATAACATTATTACACACAAAGCGCCTTCCACTCTTTAATCTCACCTTTTCATATTTTCTTGCACGAAAGGAAATGAAGGAATCTTCCACGGACCATGGACCAGTGGGCGGGACCGAAAGTGGTTTTGCGACGAAATGCATGGTAGGTACGGATCCACGTTCATGGGAAGGTTTGAAGTGAATCCTGTTCACGTTCGCGCGTTCGACACACTTCCGGTCCCGCCCACTGGACCGTGGAAGATTCCTTTAAGGTGAGCAACGGTTTTCTCTACCTTTTTGAAAAAGTCATGGTTCGAACGAAAATGCAAATTCTCGTATAACTTCGCATAAAGATGCTCTATAACGACACCCATCCCTTGCCCGCTGGCCACATGTTCGGTCTAGGAGAGCAAACTTTGATTATTATAATGCTGTAGCTAGTCATCGGAGTGACCAGCCATCTTTCTGTTGTTGTGACAGTACGGTTCACTGAGCAAGGAACAGTGGTAGGAGCAAGAATGGATAAGAAACTTGCTCAACATTGAAATTTTGAGTGAAGGTGAGTTCTGCAAGGGCGGACCCGGGCTAGAACTGGTGTGAAAGACGCTTCATAGTGATGTGAGTGCTATGGAGCAAACCAAAAATATAAAGGAAAACAAGTGATATTATCGAAAGCGAAAACTGAGGGCCAAAACCTAGGAAAACTAAAAATGAACGAGGATGAGACACATCGACTGGAAAATGTAACACGAGAGCATGCCCTAGGAGGCAAACTGAACTCTGCATCACTTGCGGTGGAAGGGGAGGGCTACGGTAGTCGTCTTTAACGATCAGCGCTATTAGCGCATTCTGGTACGGTGGTTGTCGTTGTCGGCTGATCACCTTTTTGCACCTTTCACCTTTTTCTCACGATTTTCGGCTGTTGCAAGCGGTGATCCTGCCGAGGTGAATTCATGTCATTTGGTGCATTATAAATGAGCATGGATGGTGTTTGTACCTGCATGTTATGTCAAGTTCGTGGTTATTTCGACAAATTTTTGATGACGCATATGTTCCTGCTTACTCCCCCATTAATCGTCCTTTTTTTCATAAACCTCTCACCACTTATCACCTGTCGTCCCGTTGATTCGATTTGCTCTAGCGGGTGCCAGCAACGTCTCCAACCGCATTAGCAGCAAGGGTAGTCCAATCAACTCCTAGCTCGAGAAGACGCAAAATTTTTCATTCCTTTCGTTCAGAAAATCCATGAAGAAGTCTATCCATCGTGTCCGTTTGACCTCCCGAGGTATTCCAGTCGGTAACCGCTCTGGTCCAACGGTCATCGCAAAATCGCATGACGTGTCCGGCCCACCTTATCTTCGATTCCTTGGCGGCAGCGTCCCTGATCTTCGATCGTTGGCGTAGTTCGGCACTCCGGATTCCCCTCTGCACTTGCGTGTATAGGGTAGTTCCGCATCGTCTGTCGACAGCGCATTGAGTAACCCCAAGTGCATGCTCGTCCTGCCAGCGCAGATTGTAAGTCTCTAATTGTAAGGCGTAGGTGGAGGCAGACTACAGGATCGAAGAAGTGAGCACCGAACTAGAGTTCTTACAAACGGGAACGGATCCCCTTAAAGCGTTCTCGGAAAAAGTAGAGTGCTCTCACCTTTGTAACGCAGACATACACCCTCAGTTGGGTAAGATTTCGCTTTTGTGTGTGGACGCGATGGCTTCGAAAATTCTGGCTCTCGCAAATCAATGCCGCGAACCGATTCTCCAAACGTACGTCTGAAAGGCCGAGTAGTGCAGTGGCATATCACTTCGAGGTCTGCCCCGCGGACGCAACGGACAAAAGGGTTTAAGCAAGTCTGCCTGGTATGTGGAGAGTCCAACCCTTTCGGTGAGTTTTGACTTTCACTTTTCCTAGGACGCTCTCGAGCAAATTGTTAAGGAAAACTCCTCATCCATCCGCTAACACCCAATATCGTCTAGCAGACCTCCCCATCCCAATTAATATACATCCAAGTCCCCCGCGTAACCTACTAGAGACTCATAGCGAGAGGAGTTTCGATCAAGTGTGCGTGCCATGTGCAAATGACCAACGGTGACTGCCCACATTTGCAAAGTTAGGTACAAATTTCAGATTTGGACCAAAAGTTGTGGAAAGGGGCATTTTGACGCGCTGAATACGAATATCACCTCTGTTTGGCACGAATGCGCCTGACGCGTGCGCTACGAGTACAAGGGGCGATCTTTTGCGAATGGCGCGCACAGTGTTAGATGCTCCTCGCTAGCTATCCGACTTGGAGAGATAGCATCGCTAAATATTTCTGTGGATAAGCATCTTTAGCATGTCCATCAAGGGAAGCCAAATGCTGAGAAATCACCGGAATGGTCATCCTGCATGACCTCTTTCCGGTCGCTCTGGGTCGCGCTGCCCCTGCGGCTGATCGCACCTGCATAACTAACGTTCAAACGAATCGTTTTCCGCAGATTTTGGGTAGGCACCGATTCGAGATGCAGCGTCTAAAAACCATCTAGTGGGTGTGCGCGTACAGAATGCCACTTCGACGGGGAAGCAGGGTCAACCGTCCGTTCGAACAGTTCGAACGGGGGGGGGTCGCATTTGTGTGTCTGGGAAGGGAGGGGGGTCGCATTGGTCGCATTGCGCGCTTTGGTGATTAGTGGCGCAGGGCATAGGTGTGTGCGAAAAAAGTTGCCGTTTCACTGGTTGTATATACCCCCCCTCCCCCGCTCGAGGCTGTTTTCTGGGGAAAAGTGGGTGGAGTTTCGGAGAGTTAGGTAGGTTTTGGGCTGTGTCAACTGGTCTCAGAATCAAATACTATAAAAGAGGGAGAGGTCGCGGTGGAGGAAGGCTGGTTGTATTGGGGGGTCGCAACTGTGTGTTGGGAGGGGTCGCAACTGGTCCCTCTCGAGAGGGGGGGGGTCGCAAAAATCCCGAAAATGTTCGAACGTGACGGTTGACCCTGCCTGGATCCACCCCTTGTTAGCTTCTCCACTACTCCGATGTGCCTCACGCTCCCACGGCTCCGGTGATTTCGCAACCGTACACGAGTTAGAGGACGAGTAGATGTCCACTCTTCTCCCTAATTAATTTTCCGCACCCAGAGGTGCTGATATCCGCTTTCATTCTCTTACGAAGTTAGTTGTAAGTGATCTTTCTCATTCCTCTGTTCTACAGTTTTCGAGATGGCTCTTACAAGAGGTCTTCTCAGGGCAAGGTGCGCTTTTGGAAACGGTTTAGTACATGTTGTAGGGACGCATGTATGGACCACAAAACCTATGTTTCGTTTTCGCTGAACGGTTTTAGTAGTACCAAAAAAGTGGTGAATAACGCTCCTGATGGTTCTCAAGGTTGGCGGCCACTTGTTGGCTTCAAAATGGTCCTGACGATGAATTTGACATCTGATTTTGATATTTAGCGCGATTTGGCACCAAACCGTAGGCGCCAACCCAAATGCAAAATTTAGTCGCCACGGGGGATCGAACCCTTAACAGTACCTTATGCTTCTTTTTTGGTACTGC